AATCCAATACCAGGCCCTGGGTTTGTTTTTATTAATAAGACTGTCTAAGTTTCATGCTATAGGAAGCTTTATTCTAATTATTTCTCTTTTAAAACAAAACTATTCTTTGTATAATTTCTCCTGTAGTGCATACATGTGGTGTATATGTGTGTCTATGTGTATGTATGTGGACAGACACCTGAGTGGGGATATCTGATATCCTGTTCTATCAATGTCTACCCTATTCACTTGAGACAGGGCCTCTCACAAAACTTGAAGCTAGACTTATGTCATTAAGTTCCAGTGACTCTCCCATCCCTCTCTTCCATAGCATTCCATGTGTGCATATAAACACATCTGGCTTTCTACATGGGCTTTTGAGGTTGGAGCCCACATCCTAACATTTGCCCAGTAGGTGCTGTTACTTGGTGTTCTAGGACAGGGAGTTTCATTGTTTTCTTTTCTTTGTGAAGGAGCTTCCACAGCTCTTTCCAGTGTTAGCATATGGATTATGTCCTATCATGTTCAGACTGAAAGGCTCTGAATCCCATTAAAGCACCATTTATTTAAAGGGACACACACAAACCTGTTTATCCCTTTAGTCAAGAGAATGAGGGCATGCCATATACTAGTGTTAAGATCAAACAATTGGTGTACAGGGCACAGACCTAAAGAGGTGACCATATACTCAACAACAGTCAATGATAAGTAATGTAGTGGCTGATGTCAAGGCTTGAGCTGAGTCGGTGGAAAGGCGTGTTGCATAGGAGCAAACAGCAAAACAGAGAGCCGATCAGAGAAGTAGGGTCTTGGACAGCAAAGGAAAAGATTATTTTACCAATAATGACAATTAAATCAAAGACACATTGAAAACGATGAGTCACGAGCAGCAAACAGGAGTCAGCCCTTCTCTTGTCTTTGATTGAAGCATCCATGTCCTGGTGCATATATCCCACCCAGCCCTATCCTGTCTTCAACCTGGGTATAAGAGGAGTCATCTACAGTTCCTCTCATCTTCCAGAGACAATAAACACCCTGGAGGTATTTTTTAATTGTGTAACACTAGAAATAGACTTTCTATCGCTGTGCATCACCTTCAAATTAGGCATAAAACAGAACAAAAACAAAAACAAAAGCAAAAGCTTTTCTCCCAGAGCTTTTGTCCTGGTTCCGACCTGATAATGACAGGGACCCTACAACAGGGTTATCTGGTTATCCTCTCGCCTGATCCGCACCTCTTTCCTCATACAGTCAGTCTCAAGGGGTGCTGGTACTCACCGGCCTGGCATGGCCCCCAGCAGGCTACACACTCTGGCCTTGCCTGTGTCCAGTCATCCTTTCAGGATGCTGTCCTTTGTCTCCCTTGTGTCCAGTTGACCTTCCATTTGGGGGAACTTTGTGGCTTCCTTCCATGATCTCTGCCCTTCCCAGGTATCTTTCCTATTCCCAATTCCCCAAGTCTCAGGTTTGCCTCTGTTCTAACTGCTTTCTTGTTCTCTGTGTAGTCTACAGGACTCTTGCCTGTTTCCTCCATCTGGGACTTTTCAGGCTTCCATGGGGTACTCATCACAGACATTGAGAGACCTCACTCCATTTCTCTTCTTTGTTATCCTAATCATACCCCTAACCTCATAAACTCTAAGAGGGTCAGACTGCAGAGTAATAAATATCTCAAGTGGACTAGCTAATCTTGCTGTCCCCATTCAGATTTGCTAGGTTTAAATTACATATCAGTGCACTGATCTCCAGAACAGCAGGTGATCCACTTCACCTTTCAACAGGTCTCCTAGATCCTTCTAATATGACTCATTTGTAAGCATCCCAGACACTTCTGTCATCCCCTCCAGGGCAACCCTATTTTCCAATTACTCTATTTTGTTATATACTTTGTATTTGATAGAGATGAGAATTCCATGAGTCATTTAGGGGACTATGGATATCACTCAATGGTAGAACACTTGCTTACACACATGGAAGACCACATGCTCCACCCTGACACTACTAAAAAACAAGCCTGTTAGCCCTTGGCTGTCTGGGTGATGTAGGTTTGGCTACTGTATGCACAAAGTATAGGGGCTGAGGAACAGATGGGAAGACATGAATAGGAAGAAGCAAGAAACTGTTCTTAAATATGAGCAAGCAGAAGAGTGAGAAATCAAACAATAATGCTCAGACCTTCTAGAACAGGGTGAGGCCAAGCAAGGGAAAGAGGCAGTCTTTGTATTTTTTTATTTCCTAGACATGAGGTGAGTGTTTCCTGCCTCACACTCCCCTGCCAGGGAGTGTCATGTGATGTGTTACTGAAGCGTGATGTGCCACCATAGTGTGATGTGCTACCATAGTGTGATATGCCACCATAGGAAGTGGAAAATAACCTCTGAAGCCTTGAGCACAATAAACCTTTACTCTCTGTAAGTTGTCTGGGGCATTTGTTATAGCGATGAAAAGCTAATTCAGGGATAGATAGTCCATTTCTTTCCTTTCATCTCTAACAATATTCCATCAATATTCCAATCTATGAAAATGCCCACACCTGCTGAAGTTCTTCTGTGTCTAGTATTGACCTACTCTTTCTATGTCTCAAATCGTCCTGATTCCAGAAATGCTGGAAGATGACAGCGTCTGTCTGCAGTCTTACCCAGTGAAGAGGCAATTGTTAAGTTAGAGTGAAAAGTTGATGAAGCAAGATTCAGAAAGGAGGACGGGGGGATGAAGATGAGAAGGTAAGAAAGGAACAAAAACCAAAACTCAAGAAGGGATCACACTCAAAACAGGCCATTAAAAATGTTTTCTTCTACGACTAGGTAAAAATTAAGAAGGTATAAAAAGGCAGACAGATTGGAGGGGGAGCGACAATCTGGAGTCATCTGTTTCTGTTGCCATTTCTTCTGCACAGTGAAGGGCTGAGTAATCTACAAGGAGGGGACCAGGAGGTTGAAACTACCATCTGAAGGGGCGTGAAACCAGGGTGGCGAGGAGCACATGCAAGCTGCAAAGCTGTGGGGCCAGCCAGCACAAGCCCATCCTCAGTCCTGTCAGCCCAGGGCAGCCTTAAGAGGACCAGCCTAGGCCTGACCAACAGCCCTGCAGAAGGGAGAGAGCCTGACAGAAGAGTGAAGGTGATTTTGTCCTGGTGTAGGAGCAGAAGACTGTGAAGATGGGCACAGCTGGTCAACACAGGACTGGGCAGGGATACCAGCACAAACATTCAGTGAAGTCTAAGCACAGGTTAAGTGGTCATTCTGGGATGACAGAGTTGGAACAATGTCGCCTCTTCACAGCACAGCATTTCTGGAATCAGGACGATTTGAGACATAGAAAGAGTAGGTCAATACTAGACACAGAAGAACTTCAGCAGGTGTGGGCATTTTCATAGATTGGAATATTGATGGAATATTGTTAGAGATGAAAGGAAAGAAATGGACTATCTATCCCTGAATTAGCTTTTCATCGCTATAACAAATGCCCCAGACAACTTACAGAGAGTAAAGGTTTATTGTGCTCAAGGCTTCAGAGGTTATTTTCCACTTCCTATGGTGGCATATCACACTATGGTAGCACATCACACTATGGTGGCACATCACGCTTCAGTAACACATCACATGACACTCCCTGGCAGGGGAGTGTGAGGCAGGAAACACTCACCTCATGTCTAGGAAATAAAAAAATACAAAGAGGAAAGGGCTGGATTCCACCATCTCCCACAAGGACAGTTCCCCATTGGGGATGACTACCTCCTACTGGGCCCTAACTGTTAAAAGTCCTACCATGTCACAAAGGCAGGGAGGTAGGGTCAAGCCTTTAAAACATGAATCTTCAGATCCAAACTACAGCAATACTCCAAGTATTCCACAAATTAAATGTAGACGAATAAATATGAAAGCAATGTGGATGTAGGGAAAATGGTTTCTTGTCAAAGAATAATGTGTGGTTTTATCAAGGTTGCTCTTTCTCTGAGTCAATATAAGAAGAGTCAGCTGATAAGCAGAAATATTCAACTTAATTTGTATAATACTTGCTATGAATAATTTTGCTTTAAATCCATACTTGTCTAGATCTTTTCTCTCCCACATCTGCTAAACTCTACCTTTCCACTGACCACTAATTTCACTAGATTCAAGGTTTAAATGGCTTCAGCATCTTCTAACACTGTAAGCTCTTCGGACTGTTCTTGTCTCCTTCTACTCCTCATCGGTTGATATTAACATTTCAATCTACCTTCTAACCCAGAGACTCCCACTCCGGTGCTAGCCAGACATCCTGCAGAGTGACAAAGGACAGAGTACTCTTCTGGAAGCAGGCTTGAGTCCTGGAATAAGCTGATGGGGGAGGTGCAATGGGTGTAAATAGAGAAAAAGAGATCAGGATTTGACTCCACCAAAAGCAGCCTTGAATTCAAGAATATTCAATGGCAAAGATTACGATAGACCAAAGGAAATAGTGTTTTTCTCTTAAGAAAAAGTGTTGAGGTGGGGAGGTAGTCCAGGTGATTAGATGCTTGCTGTGCAGACATTAGGATTTGAGTTTGAGACTCAGAAACCCCACACAAAAGACAGGCATGGTGGCACACAGTTGTAGTTCCAGGTAGGTCCCTAGTGCAGCCTAGACTAATAGGCAAGTTCAAGCCAGTTGGAGAACCTTTATTATAAAGGCCAGCTCCTTGGAGTAATACCCAAGGTTGACCTCCAGCTTCCACCTGCAGAAACACACACACACACACACACTCTCACTCACTCACTCACTCAGATATTCATGCAGTTGAAACAAATAAGATACTAGATATTTCTTTGTCACTGAAGAGAGTGTTTGGTGATTCTGGAAGAGTATCGAGGGAGTTCAGAAGGACAGAACAGAGTGATAACCATTATGTTTAGTAGGCAAGATATCAAAGAATCAAAAATATACTTACCAAAAGAATATTTTTATAGAAGTTTTTGTTTGAAAATTGCCAAAGTTCTTGTTGATAAGGAAAACTAATGGTAAAAATCGACATTTTGTTATCCATACATATGAAGATTTACCTTCCAGTCTCAGGATCAAATCCAAAGTAACGGTCTTGACACTGGCAGCATCTCCGCCCAGTGGTGGAGGGGTCACGGCAAGTGCACTGCCCGGTGACGCTGTTACAGACACGGCTCACTGCTCCAACTGTGTGGCATAAGCATGGTAGACAGCCAGCAGCATGGCCAGGGGAAATGTAGAAGCCTAGAGATAAGAAAGAAATTTCATTTTCACTTTTGGTCCAGTCTCCTCTAAAAAGGATAGTGTTTTGATAGCACTCAAAACCCAAAGACTCCTATGGGATCCCTGGGTCTTACGATACCAGTAGTTAGAGCTCTTCTTAATGAGTATATTAATTACAACTAAAAACAAGCAGTCATCTACATGAAAATTTAGTGCAGAAGGTGGAGGGGAGGTTGCTCAGCAGTTAAGAGTGTTCATTGCTCTTATAGGAGGCCTGGGTTCAGTTCCAAGCACTCGTATACAATTCCCAACTATCTCAAACTCCAGGTCTAGCAGATCTGAGACCCTCTTCTGGCCTTTCTGGGCACTAGACATCTATATGACTTACATACATACATGCAGACAAAACATTCATGTTTAAAATTAATTCATTCATGATAAAAATAATTTAAGCTGATTTGAAGAACTTTCCACTAAAAACTGGTGGCACTCCTCTACTCAGATCCAAATTGTTACCAAGTTGGCCATGGTGTATCCTATGTACCAGAGAGATATAATTGATCATGAGTATTGTTAAAATTCTCACCCCTTTAACTGTCTACCTCACATGTGATCTACACTTTGTTAATCACCAAGACCTACCACCAGCGTCTCCCAAGGACTTCAAATCTTCTACTGTCCCCTCACACCTCCCTAGGAAGGCTGCCACCAGCTTTTCCACAGCATATACCATGAGCCAGTGTTCTAGAGGGGGACTCACACACATTCGCTCACTTAGACGTTACTATATCCTTTATGTAGTTTGGAAAGCGAACTTAGGAGGGTTGACAGACTCCCCTCAAAGGTTGAACTATTGAGTAACACAAGCCAGCTTCAGACACAGCCTGCCCAACTCCAGGAGCCACTTTACCCACTGGTGAGCCCTGCCTGACCCACAGTGCAGCTTGAACAACCTTTCTCAAAGGAGACTTTTTAATGTCTTTTGCCTCTATTTCAAACTACTTTGCTGTGGGATGGTCTGTATGTCAAATGCATTGCTGATTGGTCAATAAATAAATCACTGATTGGCCAGTGGCCAGGCAGGAAGTATAGGCGGGACTAACAGAGAGGAGAATTGAGAGAACAAGAAGGCAGAAGGGAGTCACTGCCAGCGCCGCCATGACAAGCAGCATGTGAAGATGCCGGTAAGCCACGAGCCACGTGGCAAGGTATAGATTTATGGAAATGGATTAATTTAAGATATAAGAACAGTTAGCAAGAAGCCTGCCATGGCCATACAGTTTGTAACCAATATAAGTCTCTGTGTTTACTTGGTTGGGTCTGAGCGGCTGTGGGATTGGCAGGTGAAAGAGATTTGTCCTGACTGTGGGCTAGGCAGGAAAACTCTAGCTACAAATGGCACCCAATGTGTTGGCAAGAGTTTCCATCTAAAACCTGAGTAAAAAGATTCTAAAACAGAGCTAAAAACAGTTCCTAGTTGTCTCTTTCAAGCTAGTGGCAGCCTGCGTGTTTGAGCTACTATACTATCTACTATGATGGGTTCCTGGCGTGCGTGCTCAACCTGCAATATGGCAGGAATGAGGCCTCTGCAAGTGGCACATTAAGCTGTGTGGTGGATTTAGCCCTTGCTAGTACAAAAAAAAAAAAAAAAAAAAAGAGGTTTCTGGGATACATGCTGCTTTAATAGAAGCATAGACCCACTATTTCTGAAAGTTGATGGCTCCCAGAGCTGGCGGAAAACGTACCACTGCCATGTTGGGAAGGTGAAGTGGGCGGAGCCAGCAGCCACAGCTCCGTTTCAGTCTTAAAATGCTGCAGTTTAAAGCAATAGGCTCAAGGTAATATAAAAAATAAGCCATGTAAAGATGGCTAACACACAGAGAATCTGGATTATGTTCTCTTTGATATTCGTAACTGAAGAAAAACATTTGATCATAAAAGCTGTTGAGTTAAACCAATATGGATATTTTAAAGGTACCTTGACTTCAAAATTTGGATGTAAGGATATGTTGCTTCGGAAAGGAGGCTCTGCTTTTGTTTCCACAGAAAGCCAAAGGCTATGGATTTGTTCCAGATTAAGATACATCAGGTTTGACCAGCCAAGACCCCCTGAAAGGTCTCCGATGACACCAAGGCCCAGATGATCCAACATCCAGAACTGTTTCAAGGCAACTGGCTCAGACAATACACCCTCACGGACTACTCCATGATCCTAAAATTTTCTTTATGTCCCCATGAGATACAGCGCCCCCTTCCAGCAGGAAGTAGTAAGAGAAGCTACGCCCAAATTCCCAAATATACCAAGCTGACTTTGGAGATGTGTAAAGGTTAAAACCTTCCTTTTTAAGAAAAGAAAACGGGGGCCGGGCGGTGGTGGCGCACGCCTTTAATCCCAGCACTCGGGAGGCAGAGGCAGGTGGATCTTTGTGAGTTCAAGGCCAGCCTGGTCTACAAAGCGAGATCCAGGAAAGGCGCAAAGCTACACAGAGAAGCCCTGTCTCAAAAAACCAAAAAAAAAAAAAAAAGGGGGGAAGTGCTGTGGGATGGTCTGTATGTCAAATGTGTTGCTGATTGGTCAATAAATAAATCACTGATTGGCCAGTGGCCAGGCAGGAAGTATAGGCGGGACTAACAGAGAGGAGAATTGAGAGAACAGGAAGGCAGAAGGGAGTCACTGCCAGCCGCCGCCATGACAAGCAGCATGTGAAGATTCCGGTAAGCCACGAGCCACATGGCAAGGTATAGATTTATGGAAATGGATTAATTTAAGATATAAGAACAGTTAGCAAGAAGCCTGCCACGGCCATACAGTTTGTAAGCAATATAAGTCTCTGTGTTTACTTGGTTGGGTCTGAGCAGCTGTGGGATTGGCAGGTGAGAGAGATTTGTCCTGACTGTGGGCCAGGCAGGAAAACTCTAGCTACACTACTTTATGGCTTATTTCCTTCAAGAAAAATATCAAAACCTAAGCAAACTGCTACCATGGCTTCCCACCCTGTAGTCAAGTTCTGACTACGTCTCTAGCATCGTCTCCCAACAGGAGCACTGCAGACACACTTTTTTCTCCTCTCAACCCTTGATGGCCTTTCTGTGAGGGGGTCGCTCTGTCCATGGCAACGGTTTCCACCTACCTCCTCTGCTTACTTCATTTCTTGATAAGCCAGGTCTCCTCGAAGCCATGAAGAAATTTCTTTAGGCCAATTCAGGCATGCCTCTGACAGCTTCACTGCATCCTGCTGATTCCCACCAGTGCCCAGATACACATAATTAATCTAATTTTCATCAGACTTGTCACCTTCATCACGGCCAGAACATCATCTGCATAAATCACCGATCCCTCTCCTACCCATAGTAGGCCTTCACTAAACACTGATGAGGATGTAAAAATGGACAGGCAGATTCAGTGAGTTCCACAAGTACTACACTCAGAAAATATGCATGAGTCCACGCGTGCGTGCGCGCGCGCGCGCACACACACACACACACACACACACACACACACACCACATACACATGCTCAGTTTAAAGATTTTACTTTTATTCCACAATCCACATCCTTTTCTTATGTCAAAAGAAAAAAAAGTGGGACTCACAATCACATTGGAATTCTTTAAAATCTTCTGGACCCAGAAGATGGATGACAACAATGAGCAGAAAGGCTTTAGACATTTGAGTGGTGGAGCAGATATGGGAACATAGAGATTCTTGGTGTAGTGTGATGTACATACATGTGTATGCACATATGCACATACCTACTGAGATACACACACAAGCACACACAAAATGCCACCGGGAATTGAACCGCGGCAACAGGGAGAGGGATCACAGGAAACCATCTGTTGAGTAAAGTCGTGGATGACGGAACTTGTAAAAGTGTTCTGATCATTCAGTTCTGAGATATATTAGTCTTAGTGAAGAGGAGAAGCTGAAAGACAAAACCAACGCGTCCCATGTTGTCTATTCTATCGGGAAAAGCAGAGATAACAGGTCAAATATCACACACACTTGAGGGTCTAGGTAAGAAGAAACCATCATCCTAAAGTCACAAAATTAGTCTGTTTTCCTTGTCCTGGGTCCTAGCTGTGCTCTTAGCCCCAAAAGCAGAAAAAAAAAAAATGCGTTCAGCAAGAGTGAAAGGAAAAATTGAAAGATCTAGAAGAGCCAGACAGATGGCACAGACAACATCATTTTCATATTAATTTATATCCAGATCACATGATTTATCTGTCTCTATTTGTCCTTATATCCACTTGCAGGAATAGGTTGTAGCCGCATCAGCTAATACCTGTTCGGGTGCCTGGTTCATCATACTGTCCAAGTCACAAATCCCAAAGCCTTGTCTTTGGTAGCTGAGGAGGAAGGTGCCTGGCTCCTTAAATTCACGAGGATGATATCATGAAGGTACTAACAGCTCTCCAACTTGGATAAATTACCCATTAGCACAGATACTTAGCATTAATTTGGACTTACTGCAATAGCTTCCAGTCACAGAGAATTCTCGATCAATTAAGGATCATTTTTGCAAGAAGAAATGATTTCTTAGCTAAGTCTGGGTATACAAATGGGAGTGCATTTTGGTACAGAAGATTGGGTAGTTCAAATCTTAGAGAGTAAGGAACTGCATAGAAAAATATTCGGAATGTGAGCAGAGGACAATCACCACCAAGGGAAGTATGCAAAAGCACAAAGCACCAGAGGAGGCACAGTGTGGGGGCTTCCAGGAAGCAGCCAGGATGGACTTTGCTGTGAAGTGAGCGCGCCTGCTCCCAGGAGCTTGATTATAAAGGTTACTCCCACCAGTGGTTTAGTAGTCCTATTTTTAAGCAGTTCAATTAGGATGACGCAGGGAACTTCCTGCTCACAGACTGCTTGTCACCTCACCTGAATGTGCCTAATTCTAGACCATTACCTCTCCTTTGATGGCTCCCAGCTATAGAAAACAACATTCCCCTTCCCCTCCTGCTTAAACTTCCACTCCTGAGTGTGGCTTAATGATAACTGACCTTAATTCCTTCTTCGAC